ACAGCAGACATTTTGACTTATCATGTTAGAAAAGCACAGGTGTTACTGATACTAGTCCTGAAACAGAAGCAGCTGAATGAACCTCAGCCATCATTAATTTACACCTGTGTTTTTCCTACTGTGACATGTCGAAATGTCTGCTGTGAAAAAGTGAATTATTTTAGCAGAGCTTTCAACCACATCTCACAATCTGGAGCGTCAGTCACATGATAACAGGCTTTATGATCCCCACCCCCTCTATATGACCATCTGTTGTCATGTGAAGCTCCATGTTTTGGTCATGTGATCATAACTGAACCATCTCCATGACAACTGAGCAAACTGTATCTGCTGTGGAACACTGTGAGATGTGGTTGAAAGGTAGTAAGTGTGCCTTGAGTTAAGCATAAACTCTCACATTAAGCATTTATTTATTTATTTATTTATTGTTACATTATTTTAAGAGAGGGTTCATTTTGAGAAGCCTATTTGAATTGTTTCCTTACAACAAGAGAAGAGTAAATGCCAGTGAACAACATACATTGGAATTAAAAAATCATGTAAATATCAGTTTGAACCGATTTATTTTATTATTAGTTAGTATTTTGTTGTAAAAATTATTATTAATTAGAATAATTAACCTGTATAAACTACTAATTTACTTTTTGTGTAGCCATATGCAACCACATACTGTATGTGTACACATGAAATAAAACCTTTGATAAATGATATGATATTATGATACATTACATTAAAATCTGAATATAATGCGGATAAAATGGCCTCTGTGTCTAAGTAATTACTAGAAATGGAAGCATAATTTAATAACAACAATAACAATAATGACATAGCTTTTGCACACAAATTATTTCATTTGATTCCACGACGAGTTTTAAAGTAGATCCAGACTTTTTTTAAAGTCTCCCGGCGACCTCCCAGAAATAGCAAGAGACTGGCTCTCTCCCTGTATGCAGTATAGGATGTCTACTGCGAAGATCAGTTGACATATTCAAATATTACAGAGTGCATTTCTCTGGCTCCGTCCTCAGATGAAAGAAGGAAACAAAAGCTGACAACACAGAACAGTAACAAATCACCCAATACTAATGAATTCCTGAAAGACTTTTTCTGTCTCTCAAGCAGACTTTATTTTTTTTTTTTACATTCAGTAGGACTATTTACTTTACCTCAGCTGAAGAGAAGACAACCAATTAGAATTTCTAACTTTTGTGTAAAATGTCTGTCTGCTTGCCTCTTTCCCAAAAATCTCTTGGTTTGTCTTTCTGTCTGTAGAAGGAGACAGTTAAAGGAGAGTGTGTACGGTGACAAGCTGCAGCAGTACAACACAGGAGGAGGTATGACCACGACTGAAACTTTAAATCAGTTCTACTTTTATATATGCTTACACACACCAAACTTGCAGAACAGAATTTATATTTGCACTTTCTAATTTTCTCCTCAGAGGTGACTCTGAGGCCAGACATGTTCAGCGGCCCCGCCCCCACCGTGACCTTTCCCACCCTGTCTGAAGGTCACAGTTCGCCGGGGGTCAAGATCTACATCGACCCCTTCACCTACGAGGACCCCAACGAGGCTGTCCGGGAGTTTGCCAAGGAAATCGACCCCTCCTGTGTCAAAATAGAGGAAGTCATTGGATCAGGTAGAGATTATCATAGACTCCGTGTCTTTGACCCTTGGCTTGCCCTTTCCTCTCTCATGTTGTTTCTATAAGATGTTAAAGCTAAACTCAACAAATACATAAAACTCCATGATTGTTTTATGAGTCAAACTGTGCAATCATTCTACTTGTAGCTTTTGTTGAAAAGTAAAAAATCACCCTTCATATCTACTCTAAACTGCTCCAAAAGTGAACGTTATAAAAGTAAACCGTGGCTCCTTTTAATGAGCCCCACTGTCACTTGAAACAGCAGGTACTCTACAGTAAATGAATCAATTTCATCAACTGTGCCACACTGTTGTGTGAATGAAAAAGATCTAGAAACACGCAGTACCAATTTATTATTTTGCTTTATTTTTTTCCTTTGAAGTCAGGAGAGATGTTTTATTCATGCTGAAAACTTTCACCGGAATAAATTAAAACTGTCTTCATGCATTCTCTTTGGCTATCTGAGTTCTCACTGTAAAAATGCTGTGTGATGTTTGGCAAATAGAAAAAGTTGGATGTGAGATGGAGTCCCAGAGCATCCTCTGAAATCTTTTTTGGGGGGGCAGAGTTTTTTCATTTCAGCTGTTGGATGGAAAAATTAAAAAAGGATGGAAACGAGAAACAAAAAAAATAAGGAAAAAACTTTGGTTACAGTTGGTCAGATCAAGTGTCTTATTTTACCTCTGATCCCTTAGTACTGCCCTTGTCAAAAAAAATATTAAACATAAGTTATATTTTTAAATAGACTGAACTATACTACTTTTTGACCCTGGTGAAACTAAGCTAAACTAACCTTCAAGAATTCCATTATTGCTTCATTGTCCCCAAGGGGATTCAAGTCAGACGAAACACAGAACACACAGATTTGAGCATAAGATGAATAATTTAATAAAATACAAATATGTAAAACACATGCTAAAAGTAAAAAAATTAATTGTACATCCAGTGACAGCACAATATAAACCACATCCAACCAGTGGCATATCCAGACATTTTGTGACTGGGGTGGTACAAGTGGGGTACTGACTCATGCAGGAGTGACATGAAGTAGGTCTCTCAGCTTTTCAGTTATTCCCAATTTCTGCAATTCCAACACTGTTTAATGACCCCATTATGTAGAAATATTCAGGCGAAAATAACGCATTCATACCACATGCAAAAAACAAACTGCATGCCCCAAATTGCAGGGAATTAGCACAAGTAGGCATGTTTGTCAAAGGAGACTTGTGGTTACCCATAGCACCCATAGTATTTGCATTCAGATATCTTGAGGTCATCAAATCCAGTCATCAATTGTAGGGCTATATGTGTAAAAGGAAACATTTAGATATGCAAACTTTGTAATCTCAAAGGTAAGTAATTGTCATTTCTATCACTGCTGTATTCCTTAGATCAAACTCACATCTGTTCATGATTTAATTATGCCTTAAGAAACTATTTGGGAATAAGAAATACTGAAGAATAACCTCATAGTCTGTCCCAGAACACAATCAAATGATTATTTCTTGTCACAAGCAGATTTTTAAAGTTGATATTAACACTTAATGTGGATTCTTTTTGCAGAAAATGTACGAATAAATAACTTACTCAAGGGCTCAAAGATGTAGGTCCTACATCATTTCTGTATTATTCTTCAAACTTTTTTTTTTTTAATGAAAGCATTACCACCTCTTGTACGGGCCAAGTTGATAACATTGAACTGCCCCAGGGCCCCAGACCTCCAAAAGTCCCAGGTTCACTTTTTTTTTTGAAGGAGTACAATATAAACTAAGATGCATTAGTCTTGTATAGAGTCCTTGTGTCAATATCTAATTCATTATTTTAGTTTATATTGCCCTCAAATGGGACATCAAATGGTCCAATTACCACTAACTAATTGATAACTAATTTAAGGATGAATTAGTGTCTTCTACCTCAAACCGTCATAGATGGAGGAATGTTTTTACTCCAAATGTTATCACCCGGAAAACTTTTCTTTTTTTTCTTTTGCTTTGGACCAAAACCAATCAAACCCAAATGGCCATGGAGCTCTGGGTGATAAAGGTCATGAACCAGATTCAGCCCCTCACCGCTGAGAGTATGTGCTTTCGGCTTTGGTCTGTTGAGCCACTCTGAGAGGCTTTCTGTAATCCCTCCGTTTCTCGCTTTATTTCTCTCAGGGGAAGGTTTCTCACCTCAGCCAGAGGTGACAGAGGAGGGATGAAAACGACGGGGAGGGAGGGGAAAATATGAGCCTGGGTGATTGAGATGTGGCTGGACTTTGAGCCCTTAAATGGTCGAATCTCTCTCACTCCGTTGCGAAAGTACAAATTTATCCACATCTCTCTTTTTCCTTCTCTCCGACTTTATCTTTTTGTTTTTCTTTCTGTATTTCTTTGATACTTCCCCCTATCTTCATCTCTCTCTGTGATTCAGCCCCTCCAGAGTTTTAGAGGTTGTTTGCGTATAGAGAAATGCTAAAACAAAGAACCAAGGGGGAAAAAGGCAGAACAACAACAGATTGAGGAGGGAAGATAAAAGAAGAAAGCACCCCAAGGAGACAGTAAAAATATCTCACCTCGCTCTCTCTTCCTCTCCCTCTGTGATAACACCCCTCTCTTTTCCTCTTTCCTTATTACTATCATCCACACTGTAAGAAATGTCATTCCTAAAAATCACTCTATTTGACTCAAGACAAGTCCTGAAGAACTTTAAAGAAAGAAGCTATATCTCACATGACAGACCAGTTAATTTACTACCCAGATATACTGCAGATTTAAGATTTCAGAACAAAACCAATGAATATTTCTTCTTTTGCTCGAACTTCTCCTCGACTACCTTTTTTTCAGAAAAGTGACATGTCATATGATCTTGCCTCTCTTTGCGAAAATTACTGTTTGCGACCCTTCTCCATCCATCCTTCCGTACTTCCTTCCCTCTTCTCCCTTATTATCAATACTGTCTCATTTTCATCCTTCACTCTTTCACTCCCCCATCTCTCCTTCCTATTTTGCCCTCCATCCATCTCCACTTCTGCTGGTTTACAGCGGTGACAGTAGATAGTTTTTAATGAGCAGTGAGATGTGGAGCAGAGATCACAGTGAGACAGGACGACACAGCCTGTCATCCAATTCCCATCACTCATCCATTATTCACACACTGATTTTTATCTCAGGGATGAGGACTTTTATTTTGAAGTGGTATTCAATTTTCATGTCCCCAAGCAGCATATGGCTGCATTTATTTTGACAAAAGACATCTGTGTCTTCAGCACTGTAAGGAAATGTTCTGTACATTGAACAAGTTCAAAGCACCGAGGTTAAAATCAGTTCATATTCTTGTAACCAATCAAATCAGATCTCAGATCAGTGTAGCAATGCATGAAGAGAGACACGTGACCAAGAGAATGCAGCTTTACATATAATAATGTGTTACAAATCTCCTGGAGCTTTCAGTTACACATACACAACATCTATAAAACTTTCCATGTAAACATCAACTGAGATAAATCCAGAGATGGAAAGTAGATAAGTACAGTTGCTCACAAAAACTACAATTTTGAGGTACTTTCTTTATACACAAATACAGGGAAGTACTGGAAGTAAACAACTCGCCGTGACTCAGTGGTGTTCTAAGAGGTACATTTTTCTACTTTTCCCTTTACTTTTACTTTTCCCTTTATGTTCTATCTAATAAATACTATCAGAATAAACAGTTGTACAAGAAGCACTAGGATCCTCCATCAGAAGTGCTATTCAAACCCTATGTGTAATTTTCCAAAACCAATGACCTGACATTTACACCCACTTAAAGCTGTGATTGACCATTTTTAGATTTTAGACAAAACTATTTCTTTCACTTTTCTGGGTGCAACACAATGAATGTCTTCCAGGAGAGAATATATTGAAAATAGGCGCCATTGTCCCCATTTTTAAACGATATCCTCTCCCTTCTCTTTTTGATGGTTTGCTTTTTAGTCCACTTTCTAGTGTGGCTGCTCTCAACTATGAAGTCTTTAGATTTCCGACGTTCGTGCGATTTAGTTCTGACCAACGGTAAAGACAAAATAACCCTGGTGATGTCATTATTATGAAATGTTACATAACCATAGAGAGTAAATACTAAATAGTCCAATCTTACCCACTCTTACTAGTCAAGTAGCTAATGCTAAGTAAGTGATGCTACAGGCCACACGAACAGATTCAGAAAATGCTTTAGGTAACAAGACAAACAGGCAAGGAATGAACCTATGAACAGCACAATCCCTTTATCCACGAGGTCACTAGGCTACCTTTGTTTTGACCACAAGATGAAAGTTGAGGTGCGATGCGCAAAGCCAAGTACCATAGCAATAATAAAGGCACTGTCCCTTTTGTCTTGTTTGCCTCCTCCGCTACAAACCTTTTCTCACCCCCGAGAGGAGCTGTTGAGGGGATTCAATTTTTGTTGTTCTTTCATTCTGCAAAAATACCATCAGCGTGCCCTTGAGTAAAGCCCTCGGCCTCAATTTGCTCGAGCAGAGCTGCTCTAAGGCCATCAGTATGACACTGAGGGTGCACAGGCCAGCTCCCACGACTGAGAGAGTGTTTATGTGTTTAACACGCCCTGCCCCTCTCACTGCTGCCCAGCTCAGCTGCTGCAAAGAACAATATGCTCTCTCTCTTGTTTGACTGATGGAAAATTTTGAATAATGAATGGGAGCCAAATGGTATGAACTATAGCCTTAGATCTGATTTCACAGGTGACCCATTTACATCGTAAAATGTGATTAAAATGCAATTATTTATTAGCCTCTTTTATTATGTAATGATTTATTTATGAGCTCTGATTTCCAAGGAGAATTAAAAAACAACCCCAACAATGCACTTGTTTTTTTTTTCCTGCCGAGTCACATACTGTTCTTAGATGTATACAGCCCCTTGTAATTTTGCTGAACAGAACAGAATGCTTTAATTTCATTCTCATAATGTTTTCTCCTCCTGCAGGTGAGTTTGGGGAGGTGTACAAAGGTCGCCTTAAGCCTGTCGGTAAAAAAGAAATTCCTGTGGCCATCAAGACCCTGAAGGTTGGCTACTCTGAGAGGCAGAGGAGGGACTTCCTGTCCGAGGCGTCGATCATGGGCCAGTTTGACCAACCAAACATTATCAGACTGGAGGGCGTGGTCACCAAGAGCAGGCCTACGATGATCATCACAGAGTTCATGGAGAACGGAGCACTTGACTCGTTTCTGAGGGTAAATAACACTGTACACACACACACACACACACACACACACAGATGTACATAGATATTTTAACAGTGTACTGCTGCACTTTATGCAACATTCAAGCAGTTGACAGTCTCAACCTAAGGTTCACATTCTTGCTTTTTCTGGAGCTTTCCACTGTACAACATGGTCATCATCAGCAGATGGAGTTTACTCAGTCATAGAAATGTAGATTTTAAGATCTTCCATGATTCTAACTAGGACTTAAAGTTTAACCATCCAAAATGTGACTTGGGGCCCCCTGGTAGCTGCGCCCTATGTACTAAGGCTGAGTCCTTACAGCAACAGGTTCGATTCCAACTTGTGGCTCTTTGCTGAATGTCATCCCCCCTCTCTTTCTTATCTCTTTTCAGCTGTCTCTGTCCATTAAAAGGCAACAACAAAAGACATCGCTAATCTGGGGGTGTGGGTTTGGTTTGACCCGATTTCATTGATAGCGACCAAAAAACCCACCAACTCCCTTCATGTTGTTTTGGCAGAAAATTGCATGACGCTGATTCATTCTCGTCTATTTACACTCACATTGTGGACCTTTCAGCTGTATCACAAGGTCCTCATCATCATCAGCAGCAGATTGAGCTGACATTGTTGTGGTGCGGCTGAAAGAACGAGCAGAGATTGTTTTGTCACTTTATGAAATCACACTTTCACACTTTAAAGCTAATTAAATTGTTTAAGGTGACTTACTAGCACTCCTTAATGGTGTGGGACAGGTTTAATTTTACACACACACTGAAGCTGTTAAGGGAAATTATATTCTTACTGTTATTATATCAATGCAGTTAGGTGACCAATACGTTTTTTTCACAATATCTTAGAGACAGACATAAGCACACACACACTAAAACACACTGTACATACTGTATGTGTTCCTGAATGTGCCTACAGTATCTATATCCACATTTATCTTCAGTCCAAAGTCACATATAGTCCAAACACATAAATACCCAAACAGACAAACAGATGGAGAGGGCAACAGTGGGAGCTTCTGGAGAAAGAGACACAAAGACAGAAACAACCTCCTGCTCTTCCTTTTCTCCTCTCTTCTCCTTCCTGTGCTCTTTCCTCTTCATCCTGCCAGCATGTCTATCTGTCAGTCTGTCCGTCTCTTTGATCCTGCCCTCCTTTCGAGGCGCCTCTAAAGACAGAAAGAAAAACTCTTTGATGTTTGGTTCTCACAGTGTGACCCCTTTTGACTCAGAAATCATCCGCTGACTCATACACACAGGCGCACACACACACACACACCTTCGACTGCAGCTATGTCAGCTGGGATGTCAGTGATGTTTATAAGAGACAGAAACTGTCTGGCCCAAAGGTGAAAGAGTAAAATAGCAAAAAGACGAATGTTTTGGGTTTTGCCAACATGTCTCATAACAACAACAACAAGCCTCCAGCTCCTCAAAATATGTTTATATATATATATATATTTTATATATTATTTTTTTTTGGTTGATTTTTGATATTCAGCACAGGAATGGAAGTGTGCACATTAAGGATATACTTGCAAACATTCAAATGAAAGCTGTGGTAAAATACAATTGTTTCAATATTATATAGACATCTTTTCCTACTAATCTAAATGTACACATGGCAAGGAATTATTGCAGTTAAAGGATGAATAATTTTTATATCGTATCACATCCTGTACATCTTTGGGACAGCAAAAGCCCATCGGTGAATATTATCAAAGACCCTGACACAGAACCAGTCCCAGTTTAATTATTTCAGCTTAAAGACATCTCTGGGTAACCGAACTGTTCTCCAGAGAGAAAAATTGCATAATTAACTCTAACTTTCATAACTCTAAAAGCCTGTTTTGAAGCCACTTGTGTATATACTGTAGCACTGGTCATCCTGCTTCATTCTGTTCAAAGTAAAAGTACTACTACTACTAAAGTGCAGACATGCAACATGAAGTATTCTCAAATTACAGTATCAAATATGTGTCTGCTGCGTATTTATAATCTGAATGGTCTGTTAATGTGAAAACCATAATGACTGTGTTTTTTTGAGATGTGTCCACTGATCAGGAAGGAAGGTTTCATAATTCTTGGAGAAAACTAGCTTGTAGGAGGTTTGTTTGACCACATCTAAGTGTTTATACCTGTTTTGACTGGCCACAGTGGAAGGTGCGCCAAAATGCCTGCTTTAAAAGCCACCTCCTTACTGAATCACACTGCCTCCACCAACACTTTCTGTGCCTTTGAATTCTCGACACAAAGAATCCTATAAATGGAGATACAGTAAGGGCCCACACTCGGGGACAGTCTCTCTTCAAATGCATTTATACAGTAGTGTGGCACTCAGTTATTGACATGAAAAGAGCAGGGGCGAATCTAGAGGGGTGGCACCGGGTGAAAAATAATGCCTGGCCGACCCAGCTGCCACCCCAGTTTGGTGACAAATTTAACATATTAATTTAAATCCATTTTAAAAATATAAAATCTTTTATGGCCACATTTAAGACGAAGTGATAGGCTTACGTTCAATGAAAAAAGACATGCATTTGGAAAAATGTCTTAAGATTAGATAGAAATCAAACACTTTTCAATGCTAACTTAGATATTTAGCATTCAATATCATAGCATTCAAATGATTGGCCAAGTGTGCAAAGCTGAATCTTTCACAACATGGTTGACACGTGGGTGTGAATGTTGGGAGTCTAGTCTAGTCACTCTAGTCTTTTTAGGAAACTTCCACAAAATCAGACAAGTTCCTCCTCCTCTGTTAGTGATAACACTAACCCTCACTAACAGCTTGAAGCATAGTCACTCCTTAACTCTATCCCTAACACAAGGGCCATGTTTTTTTTTTTGCCTCTTTCTCACATTATCCTGATCACATTACAGCCTCATTTTGTAAAATGTAACTCTAATCTGGTTTGCAAAGGTTCTTTTTTCTCCAAAAAATGTTTGTTATAGCTCCTGTCATGACATTTTATGTATCTTTTCACCTGCTAGACTTTCTCTAAATAACCAAAGTGAAAAGCATGATAACAAAAAGTAAAAATAATCCTGTCACGGTTCATGGTTTTGCAGCAAAATGATGGGCAGTTCCCAGTGATCCAGCTGGTTGGTATGCTGAGGGGCATCGCGTCTGGAATGAGGTACACACACCCACTCACACACACACACACACACACACACACACACACCTCTGGTCCATAAATCCATTTTTATCATAAAGATGAATAATAAACTTTTTCAGACCTTTCAATGATTGTTGTGTGAAATTAGATTTTATATAACAATACCAATTCTAGCACACTGAGATTTCATGTGGTGATATCCAATACTCTCTGGTCGTGTCGTGTGTTATACTCAATCAGACATCTGCAGCTTGAGATGTGCTGCCTCCACATCCTGCTTACACCTTTCTCGCACACACACACACACACACACACACACACACTCATACACACATTAACGAACACAAACTCTATTTATTCACGTTAAGAACACCACAACTTGTCGGCTTGCCAGGTTGAAACACTGCTCACATACACATAGGGACACATACACTCTAGATCCTATCTGTATTTTATTGCAGGTATCTGGCTGTGACAACACACAACCATGTACATGTACACAAACATTAAATCCCATTCCTATTTAATCAAAAGGTAGCTGGCAGGGACAACACACACACTAAATCCTATTACCTTTTTAAAGTAGCCGAGGCAGCTGGCAATGGATAACACACATATTCACTCCTGTTGATGTTACAGGTACCTGGCAGAAATGAGTTATGTTCACCGGGACCTGGCTGCTCGGAACATCTTGGTGAACAGTAACTTGGTGTGTAAGGTGTCGGACTTTGGCTTATCACGATATCTGGAAGAAGACACCTCTGACCCCACCTACACTAGCTCACTGGTGAGGACTCAAACACACTCAGGGAACATGGAAGAGCAAGTAAATGTAAAAGAGGACACACTCATGCTGCATTCTGTGGTTTCATGGTAATTTTAGACTCGGGCTTGGCTCATTTTTCATCAGTCTAAACCATATGTCATAAGCCTCAGCTGTTTCTTAGCTCAGCTGTGATTTAAGCTAAATGCTAATGCTTGCATTTAGAATGTGTGCAGTAATAAGCATGCTGAGTTAACCTTAAGTTCGACAAACAGCTTTTCTCCGCTGTTTCTCGCTGGTTCTCTGCACGTGCATCAATACTGACAAGCTAGCAAGCCGCTTTCTTCTTAGGGAACAGTGTGTAAAAAATAAACTACTATGTTTTGTAACAATTTACATGCAGGTAACATTTTCTTTCAAACCCCTACCTCTTTTTTGGTACCATTGACGTTACAATAAAAATGGCTATAATTTGTGTAGTGCCAAGCCACGTTTAGGAGGTTTTTATCCTGAGGTTTTTAGAGGTATCCTTTTATAAACTTGAGTGTTGGAATAAGTGTAAACTTTGAGCTCATGTTGGCACTATACAGTATGAAAAGTCAGAGGTCTTTGAGGGAACTGCTTATCGTATTTGTTAAGAGCTTTGGAAACCCCTCACGCCTTTCCAACATCGGATTGTGGGGGGCTGTGTCCGACCATTTCTGTCATTTTTAGAAACCGACAATCTAACCAAACGAAGATGTAGCATTATTTTCTCCTGACCTCCAAAATAAGCAGTAAGCAGAACAAACTTTTAGTTTACTCCCTACATTGTCTTCATTAGAGGAGATAAGAACTAACAGATGTGGCTGTGGAATAGATTCATGTTATCTTTATTACCACGCTATCAAACATCTGCTATGTCTTGACTTCCACACTAGAGATAAAACTTCAGGCGTAGGTGTAATTTTCTTTCTGTAATGTTAACTATCTTTGTGCCATTGCCAACAGGATGTGGTGCTACAATGCAGCAGCTGACATACAGTATGCATATACAGGAAATGTGGACATGATGTATGAAATCTAGCACACACACAGTTCTCACAACTGCCCGGTAATAATTGTGATGGGCATTACATTAATAGTCAGTCCTCACCTTTATGTTTAAGACGTACTACGGCAGATATATGGGCTGCCTTTGGCCTCTGTTAGTGCTGGGTGATGAATGTCTTATTGTAAAAGTGGAACTAGAAAGCTAAACATTTTTCCTTCCATTATTTCTTTCCACCATTTATCTTCTCCTCTCTTCTTCCCTTTTCTTTTTCCTCTTCTCAGGGGGGTAAAATCCCAGTGCGGTGGACGGCCCCGGAGGCGATAGCCTACCGGAAGTTTACGTCGGCTTCAGATGTCTGGAGTTATGGGATCGTCACCTGGGAGGTGATGTCATATGGAGAGAGGCCTTACTGGGACATGAGCAACCAAGATGTGAGTCACTGCATGCTTGTGTGTGTGTATGTGTGAATGAGACAGAGAGATAGATAGACAGTCTTTCTCTTGTTCTTTTGTGTTCCCGTTGATGTCTGTGACTGTATATGATTCTGTACGTTTACCCTTTTTTCTGTTGCACACTGTCTTTCTAGTGTGTGTGTGTGTGGGCTGGGGGTTGGGGGAGTGCTTGTTTGTTTCCTTTGCCATCTCTCACAGCAGGGTGTCTGCAAGTCTAGGAAAACACACGGAAAATGAGGACATCAATTTAGGTGTCACAGCAATGTTTGTTCCCTGGAACATCAGACCAAAAGGCATCAGAATTTTGTTTTTCAGCTGATCTTTTCTTCTGGGAATATTTTATTGTCTTGACAACTTTATTCCAATTACCTTCACAGTATGATCAATTTGCCCCAGCATTTTGATATCCTATTCTTTTTCTTTTTGCTGGAATCACAGTCATGTTATTAAGTGCT